TTTTTTTTTTGCAAACGGACAAAAAGCTGGCGATGCGCTGAGCAGCCGGTGAATGGGGGAAATCCACCCAAAAACCCGCTGGGTTGGACAAACTCGGGAAAAATCATGTTCAAAACATCGTACTGAGTATGGAATTCCAATGAAAATTCACGATGCCAGGAACTCATAGATTTGGTGCCGTCTCGGGAATTCCCTCGGGAATCCCTTCCCGGACATTACCCGAGACTTTGAGAAGCAAAACCCGGAATCCCCTCACAATCACCGGCTGCAAAGCTCCAACAGACAACTTGGAAAAGCGACAGCGAGAATTGGCATCCGCCCGAGCAGCACAACAAGCAACTCCACGCAGGAACACTGCAATTGCTACGCGATGCGGCCACTGTTGCCTGCCCCTAACCCTTCGTCGATATTTCTGGCAATCGATACAACTGAGAATACGATACCGTGGCGAGAGCCGTTTTAGCTGTTGAGACGCTTTATCACTGAGGAACTTGGCGAAGGGGCGGGGCTTGGCAGGGGGAGGGGCGGGGATTCAGAATAAGATTCTCCGACTATGCAGTTAACAACTTTTCCAGTTGCTCTGACGGGTGCTGCCAGGTGGTGGTTCACGAAATTGTTTCCCGCCAAAGAAATTTGCATAATTTTTTCAGAAGGGAGGTGACCTTTATGATGTGTGCAACAATGCTTTGGAATATATCACACATCGGTGTACAGTTTCTACACATTCCTGCTTCACCAACACTGAGGCTGCATAAAATGTTGAACAATAAATAGACGAAGAGGACAATAAGAACAATAAATATTTGAAAAGGTTTCGCATATGAACGATGATTTTAAAACGGAAGGGTGACACGCGGGCTAGGAATATGCCCGAATAGTTAGGATTCCTTAAAGAACTTTGGCGCCGCTATTAAAACATGCTAAAACTCTAGATACTTGATCCTCATGTATGGTTTTTGCTGAATGTCAGTCTCCTGACGATTTTGACTTTCGTCTTATCTTTTCCTGGAGCAACTCCAACTCAACGATTCCGCCGAAAAAAACATTCAGCAAAAGTTTTAACAGTTTCGAGAAATCCATGGTGCACGTTGAGCAGCACTGCCTCGACTCAAACATTATCAGTCCGTCAGCACATGGCTAGGTATTATTGATATGAGGAGTTAGAGAGATATATGCAAAAAAAAAGCTGAATTACTCATTTGATTCGGCAGAGACGGGACATATGCACAAAATTTCAAATATACGTATATAAATACTTCCTGTAATGCACCCAGATATTGCCCATAACGTATGAATTTTACATCTTGGTTTTATTTTAATACCATTTTAATTTTAATATCTTTTTTTAAATTTTTCTACATTTAATACTATTTTGATTTATTTTCACATTTAATTGATTTTAGTTTTATTTTTTTCCAAAATTAACTTGAAATTTTTGGAAATTTATCATTTAAAATCTTTATTACTATAAAATAAGTGAAGAAGTGGAGGCCTACACAGAGGGAAAGCAAATTGTTGCAATTGATGGAAAGGAAAGTTGCAAATGTCAACAGTTGCGATGTGTAGCAAGATATATATAAGACATCTGGCGAATGCGTAAACAACGTTGAAACGGCCGGTGGTCATTAGTCAATACGAGTGGGGGTCATTACTGGGAACAACGGACACCACTCTCCCTCTCGTGTTACTGCATCTTTTAAAACTGTTTCTGAAATGAAAAACAATGATTTTTCCGAAGAATACTAATGTTTCGGTTTTTGCATGATTTTTTTTGACGTTACAATTTTTGCAGTTACACTTTTTTTTTGAACTGCTTGCTTTATGAAACCAATAGATACGAAAAGCGTAGTAATATCAAACAAGGAATGTATGCATGAAAAAGTTAGTGGCGACAAACACAAAATATAATTTTGAAAAATTTACAAAAATAATTAAGCAGGTAATAAAAGAGGTAAACAAAATGATGAAAAAATAAATAGCATTAAAAAGCAAAAACGCACAAAATAAATAAATAATGAAAAAAGGTAAATAAAATAACGAAAAAATAAATAATAAAAAAAAATAATATTAAAAAAATGAGCAGGAATGTTTCAGTCCATTAAGTCGTATACATTCTCATACAACGCTAACCTGTTTAGCAACATATCATGCAGGAGTGTCAAGACCGCCTCAAAAATCATTGCAAAAATTCCATGTTAGTGATGTTACTGGGATACTCACATACGCCGCACGAAGCTATGCCAGGCCTTTCGATCTTGAACTGCATGCTTTTTACCGTGCAATGTGTTCACTTAAAAGAATAACCCCGGAATTGTTACACAAGTTTAAAATGTTCCAGAACCAGAAGCTACAAGCCAAGACTACCAACAGCATTGCAAAAACTTCAATATAGAATGAGTAGGTACAAAGATCTGATGAAAATACAACTGTTATGCGTAGCTTGGATGACGATGATTTTGGCGTGAAAAAGGGCGAAACTGGACGTTGCTAATGCTCGCTGCTCCTGCCGGAGAGTCTGGGCGAACCAACACACCTTTACCAAACAAAACACGTTAAAAATACGGTTAAAATCCCGGCTGGGTGGGCGAGAGACGAAAAGCAGCACCGCGACAGATGAAAACACCAAAGTTTACAACAAAATCACAAGCTTTTATACTCATCACATCGGGATGAAAAATCACTGTGAGTTGCTAAGATTCGCTTCTGGGTCGTTCTTGCCTTTTACCTGCGTGCCTTCATTCACTCCCCGTAAACGGTCACTATTGTTGAACACTGTTGAGCATCACATATTTGCGATATTGATGCGTGTATGCATGTGTATTTATGATCTTACGATGAAATAAAAAAGG